GTGTATGTGTGTAATTTTTTTAGTATACCTCAGTGGGACTATATTATAGATAACTGTTCTGTCCCACTCATTTGTTCATTTAGTAACTTACCTGTATTCCTGAAGAATCTGTATATTTCTCTCATTTTTTAGGTGTGTGATAATATTTTGTTTGCACTTACCAACAGTTTCATTGATCATTTTTGTACATGTATCTGGCTCCAGTAACTTGTATTATTTTATTAACTGACAGGCTCATTTTCTCTTGCCTATAACTTTCAATTCAATCTTTATTTTCTTGTAGAACTATGAGAATAGTGTGTACAGTGTAGTCTCATTTGTGTACATTACATATGCACACACATATAACAAGTATGTGTGTCAGTTTTCTGGAAGGATATATAAGATACAATTAACTGTGATTATCTTTGGATAGAGGGACCTAATAACAGAAGCAGAGGGTGGTAGAGACTATTTTTATATATGTTTCTGTTTTTCTTACATGGTGATTTTTAAAAAAGTAAAAATGAAACTTAAAAGTTATGGTCTATGTCCAGAAGAAGCTGTGTGCTTGGGTAGATAGGGCATTTTTTTTTTTAAAGCAAAAATACATCGTTAATGTGGTATTTGCCACTTTTTAAGCACTTAAAAAATTCATAAAAGAGAGTGAAAACTTATGGAGCTTTTACGTGAGCATCAAAGCAGTTTAGTAGATGAGTTGTATTATAAGCATATTGTTACCCTTTTATTTCCATAAAAATCTGTTTTTAGTAAAACTTGTAAAACAAAATACTGAAATATGTCATCCATATGAGTTAGGGCTAAGCTGAAAGCAGAGCTTATCCTCTTTCTCTTACTGAGTCTGCCAGAATTCTTTTCAGTTCTTGGAACATGAATCTTTCCGTCGCTGGACATGTTCCCCTTCTACATTCCTCTCCTCATGTGCCATACCTTACTTTGGACAGCTGGCGCGCTTAGTCCATGGGGTTGCAAAGAGTTAGACTCGACTTAGCAACTGAACCACAGCAACCTGGATAGGCCTGGAGTAGCCTCCCAGTTGATAGTTCTCATTCCCAAGCCGTTTATCTCCTTGGATTTCTACATGACTTATAGGACCTCCTCATTGGGAATACCGTCTTTAGGCATTTATTGTCTTTATAATGACTGAGATTATGTTTAGGAATTTAGCTCATATTTTCTGTCTCTTCTGGATCAGAATTTGCTTTCATAAGAATTTCTTTAACTTTGAGGACAAATTTGCATACTTTCTTAGAATTTGTTGCTTACAACTCACACTGGTAGGCTGCTCACATTTTGATACCTCTAATCTTAGCAGACGTTTCAGTATTATGGAAATCTACAGTTCTACCAATCTAGTGCTTGTGTTCTGAGATGTTGTGAAAGGCAATAGAACAATGTGTGTAGGGATGAAACCACAAGAAAGGCTGAGCAAAATGGGGCTGGTGGAATTGCTGCACATCTATCAGTGTTACAAGTCATGCCATCTCATGAGAATTTGCTTTACAAAGTAGAGAAGAATTTCTACTGCTAAAACAGAAGTTTTAATGAATCTCTTTCCCCTCAGTTCAGTCGCTAAGTCCTGTCTGATTCTTTGCAACCCCATTGACTGCAGCACACCAGGCTTCCCTGTCCATCACCAACTCCTGGAGCCTGCTCAAACTCATGTCTATCATGTCAGTGATGCCATCCATCCACCGCTGTCATCCCCATCTCCTCCTGTGCTCAATCTTTCCCAGCATCAGGGTCTTTTCCAGTGAGTCAGTTCTTAGCATCAGATGGCCAAAGTGTTGGAGTTTCAGTTTCAGCATCAGTCATTCCAATGAATATTCTGGAACTGATTTCCTTTAAGATTGACTGGTTTGATCACCTTTCAGTCCAAGGGATCCCCAAAAGTCTTCTCCCACACCACAGTTCAAAAGTGTCAATTCTTTGGTGCTCAGCTTTCTTTAGAGCCCAACTCTCACATCCATCCATGACTACTGGAAAAACCATAACTTTGACTAGATGGACATTTGTTGGTAGAGTAATGTCTCTTTTAATATGCTGTCTAGGTTGGTCATAGCTTTTCTTCCAAGGAGCAAGTGTGTTTTAATTTCATGGCTGCACTCACTATCTGCAGTGATTTTGGAGCCTAAGAAAATAAAAGTCTGTCACTGTTTTCATTTTTTCCCCATCTGTTTTCCATGAAGTGATGGGACCATATGCCATGATCTTCATTTTTTGAATGTTGAGTTTTAGGCCAGCTTTTTCATTCTTCTCTTTCACTTTCATTAAGAAGCTCTTTAGTTCCTCTTCATTTTCTGCCATAAGGATGGTGTCATCTGCATATCTGAGGTCATTGATATTTCTCCCTGCCATGACTTTTCTTTCTGAACACTTTTTACACATACAGTACCTATTAGCTATTGTAAAGTGATTTTATCACCTAGTTACCTTCTTGACCTTTAAGTGGATTTTCATAGATTAAGACTAGAAAGTAATTTGCTGTACTTATTATGAATAAATTATTTCTTATTTCATTTATTATTGTTAACAGAAGAAAACAAAGTATTGGACTTGGATCACTCAGATTTAGGTTCGAGTCATTAATTTGCTACATATTAGCTTATGTATCTTGAGTAAGCTGGTTTATTCTGTCACTGTAACAGGTTAATGTGAGAATTAAATCAGATACTGCAAGTCCAGCAGCATCAAAACAGAGTTTTAATAAACGGTATCTAGTAACAGAAAGGATAGTAGTCGAAGTGATGATATTTAGTACTGTTTTCTAAAGCTTCTGTAGCTTCTGGTTTTATTTTGTTTGTTAAGGAAGAATAATTTCTAGAATTTTTCAGAATTGGAGTGTGAAGTGTCCAACTTTCCAAAATGAAGCATTAGTAAATAATGATAAGATATTTTAAAAATCATGAATATATTTGCATGAAACCCTAAAAGAATGAAAATTGAATAGCTTAATTCTATATTTAACTTTTTAAAAGTTTTGTTTAAAAGAAAACCTGCAAGGTACTGCGCTACAGCACTTTCATGAATTTGTTCAGCCCTTATGATAGCTCTCTGAGGCACCTCTGCTGTCTCTAGCCCTGCTTTACAGACAATGCAACACAGAGGCCAAGTAGCTGCTGAAGGGTGCACAGCTAGTGAGTGGTAGAGTCAGTATTTACACCTACTAACTTCACAGTCTCCATTCTTAATGCTGCCACATTATTTTTTAGAATGTATATTATAGCGCAGTATACTGCTCTTTGACACCCACTTCAACTTTGAATTGGTGATTTTTGATTCAGTAAATTCCTTATGATAGAACACCTGGGTTATAGTTTTTCTCCCCAATGGAAAATGATATTTTTGTCATTGTAATGTTTTTGATCATGAAAAATCTGAGTAATTAGGTTAGTAGAGAGAGCTTTGGGGTAAAAGTATTATTGAAAGTGAAAGTCCCTCAGTCATGTCCGACTCTTTGTGACTCCATGGACTATATATTCTCCTAGCCAGAATACTGGAGTGGGTAGCCTTTCCCTTCTCCAGGGGATCGTCCCTGAGATCAGACCCAGCTCTCCCACATTGCAGGAGGATTCTTTACCAGCTAAGCTACAAAGGAAGCCCAAGAATACTGGAGTGGGTAGCCTATCCTTTCTCCAGTGGATCTTCCTGACCCAGGAATCGAACCAGGGTCTCCTGCATTGCAGGTGGACTCTTTATCAACTGAGGTATCAGAGAAGCCCTAAAGTATTATTAAACTACCTATAATATAAAGAAACCACCACTTGCTATAATATAACAAAAGCGCCACTTCCCAGGTGGTGCTGTGCTATGCTATGCTAGAAAGAAAAGTAAGTGAAGTCGCTCAGTCATGTCAGATTCTTTGCGACCCCATGGACTGTAACCTACCAGGCTCCTCCATCCATGGGATTTTCCAGGCAAGAGTACTGGAGTGAGTTGCCATTTCCTTCTCCAGGGGTTCTTCCTGACCCAGGGATTGAACCCCGGTCTTCTGCATTACAAGCAGACTCTTTACCATCTGAGCCACCAGGAACTCAGAAAGGGCATGTTGCCCCCCCGTCAGAGAATCAAATCCCAGTCTCCCACATGACAGGTGGGAATACTCAGCACTATGCTAACGAGGATGCTAAGTCACTTCAGTCTTGTCCGCTTCTGTGCAACCCTCGGGACTGTAGCGCGCCAGGCTCCTCTCTTCATGGGATTCTCCAGGCAAGGATACTGGAGTGGGTTACCATGCCCTTCTCCAGAGGAATCTTCTCAGTCTAGGGATCAAACCTGCATCACTTGCATCTCCTTCATTGGCAGGCAGGTTCTTTACCACTAGCGCCAAATAATCTGCCTGCCAATGCAGGAGACAGGAGAGATGGTGGTTTGATACCTAGGTCTGAAAGATCCCCTGGAGTAGGAAATGGCACCCCACTCCAGTATTCTTGCCTGGAAAATTCCATGGACAGAGGAGCCTGGTGGGCTACAGTCCATGGGTTTTGCAAAGAGTCAGACATGACTGAGCAACTGAGCACAATAAAAAAAAAATTACTTCATTTTAAATCTAGCGCTAGTAGTAAGGCCACATAGCCTTATTAAGTATCTTGAGCATAAAACAACTTTATAATTATTGATGAAGAATCTGGTATAAAAGGCCCCAATAGGTCATTTTTTTAGCTTTAATTTTGATACTATAATCATGATAGCTAATGTTTATAGATTATTTATTTTGGGGACACGTCCATGGTGGTTGACGTCACTTAATCTTCTCAACAGTGTAGGAAGGAGATATTATTATTATCCCTGTTTTACAGCTCATTAAACTAAGATTTAAAGAGGTTTGTATAATTACCTAAGGCTTCACAGCAGTGACATAAGTATATTATGAACTCTCACTCCAAATTATTTTTATTTACAGCTCATAAAACAGACACAGCAGTATTTGAAAGAAAAATTACTAGAATCATGAAACATAGTGAGTTTTCTTTATGGGTGTGTATTATATCTTCCTTTAGGTTCACAATATTCTTGCAGAAATGGTGATGGGGGGAATGGTATTGGAGACCAACATGAATGAGATTGTTACACAAATTGATGCACAGAATAAACTGGAGAAATCTGAGGTAAGCATGGAAAGTGCTCTCGTTAAAGAAGGGAGTAAGCATGATCGTAAGTGATGCATGACTTGTAGCTTTCACTGCTTGTCCTTCAGGATCACCCTTTAGTACAGCTGGTAGGCGTATTCGGTTTTGAAAATAAATGGAATATACACATTTTAGTACGTTAAATGTTCTGTGACCACTATCCACCAAATAGTTTTGTGTATTCTTTTAGCCACAGTCATAATTGCTTTGAGTAATAAATAAAATTCCCAATTCTTACTGCTTAAAAAAGAAGTTATTTACTTGAATAGTGGAATCAGTATTTGTTATGTTCTTAGTCATTAATTATCCAAGAAATCTTAGAACTGGTTTTCAAAGATATGTGAACTTAATGTTTTATAAAACTTTCTGAAAAAGGAAAGGAGAGAAAACAGAATTCTCATAAGGAAATGATATTAATAATAGATGCTTAGTAGGCCTGAATGCACATTGAAAAAAAAGAAATTCAGCACGCTCATCTTTTATTTCTGGATCCTTGTCAAAAGTCACTGACACGTTAGCTAAATCATAAATATTTCCTACAGTGACCCATGTAGTCATGGCTTTTGTTGCATTCTAGAAGAGCAAGATGTGGTGACATGAGCTAACTGTGCTGTTAGTTTGAGGGAATGAGGACCGACCAGCACTCTAGACTTGTGTAAAACTCTGCTCTGCACATGTACTTTAAGTATGCTGCTTCCCTCAAAACAAGGCCAAATATAACAGGTGCTGAAGCTGAACCACTCAAGTGGGCATTATTTTAGTGATTTCTTACTGCTGTAGAAGAAATTTAGAAAGATGAATAGTCTTGATACCTCATTCATATTTGAGGATACCCTTACCTTTGATATTTATAGTCATAACTCAGAGTAGAAAACTAATTTTATTTATAATTATTAGTACAGGTGTTCAGATGATCTAATGTAAATATTACTATAAAAGCAGAGAGATATTAAAAATATGCTAGCATTGATTTACAACAGGTGAGTTGTGAAGAATTTTTATCTTGTTGGCTCTTTAAAGGATCAGCTTAACAAAATGCTGTGCTCATTGTAATTAAATGAAATACAGGATGGTGGATAAATCTGAAATCAGAGTTAGAAATAGTTGAAGTTTTGTATAAAAGCCTTTTCCAATGTTCTACTTTAAATTAAAATAAGTCCTACATTCCTCCTTATCTCAGTTTATCATCCTTCTTGGTTTCCTAAAGAAGGGGCTTGAAATGGGGAAGAACTTAAAATTATGACTCTTATAAGTAATTGTATATATTTTATATATTCTACAACCAGTTTTTAAAATACTGGTTTTTGAAAAGGGAAAACAAACTAGATTAATAGAGAAAATTTCATTTTAGGACAAGGAAAAGGGCTCAGACTGTTTAGTAGAGTTGGCTTGCAATGGATTTATCAATATGGCAAAAGATTTACTATAAGCTCTAAGCTATAGTTTTTAAGGTCTTAAAATGATAATTTATGTAATCTGTTAAATCTTGCTTTGCAAAATTGTATGGATATAGATTTTAAATGCTAAGAGACAGACAGTGATACAGTCCCTTAATAATTAGTCCAAAATGAGTGGATATGTGGTAATTTATAAATTCTGTGTAATCATCTCTCAGAACATATCAACCTCTTGTCTGGAATTTTCGCCTTTCCAGGTATTTAATTCCTTTCCATTGGTGGTGCCCTTCACCCCTTTTCCTCCTTAGTTTCCTATCTGTAATATTGATAGAAGTCATGAGAGACCTGTAATTATTCCATGATGGATATTTTCTTTTTGATTGTCCAGTAAAACTTTGTTAATAAGCTAATTTTTCTTATCTGTAAAGAGCAGTAAAATATAGAATTGATGTTTTCAGTGGAAATAGTTATAAGAATATTACAACTTTAAAAATGTCCTTTCACCGAAACAGTGCTATTAAAACTGGTCTTGAATCCTAGGGAATGAATACTTCTGTTTTTCATCCACTGATCATTTTTTAACATGTATAATCAATTGTTGTCTATTGCCAAATTAGTTTTTCTTTTTCTTCTTTACAGAGAAGTATGTTTTAAATCTGATGGGATAAACTGTTATATGTTTATCAAGCATTTCCCTATATGTGATGTCTGCTAATATTTTACTCACAAGATAGAATTTTGAGTCATAGTGAAGCCATAATTTAGTTCTCATCACATTTTAAGAAATTGTGTTGAAGCAACATTGACTTTGTGTAATTTTCCAGTAATTTTCGTATATGTTAAATATGTTTGGAAGGCTGCCAGCTTTATTCCAGACACAGGGAAATGTTAAAGATTTTCATATGGGTTTCATTTCAATATTATTTAAGTTGGTTATATCTACCAAATATATGACTGCAGAATAATCCAAAATTATTTGTGAGCAAACTGTAAGCGTTTATTAATCTTACTCTTAACAAAATTTTAGTTAAAATGTATTACATAAGCAAAAATTTCCAAAGAAAATCTTAAAGTTCAGAAAACCATGGTTGGTGAAGAGACTTATTTATCATATTATAAAAATTAAGTATTGTTTAGAATATCATGTGTCGTTTAAAAAGCTTGGATGTAATTACTTTACGGCTTTTAAAATATAACATGGATGTTTCAAGGTCCCTTTAACTTTGTCAGAAATAAAAAGATTTTATTATTTTAAAAGTAGTGTATTTCTAGTAACAGTCAAAAGTGAGCCAGTTTAATTCCCATTACCTAGACAAGTAGAAGCAAAGACCACTCAGATCTTTGAAAAGATGAGAAACAAAGATAACGCTCTGAATAGATTTTCCTCTATCCCGCTTTAATAGATGAATGGTTTACTATAACATTGGGATCCTGGGAAAGGAGGGTTTACGCTGGGAGGTTGTTGGGACTTGGGGACTGGAAGAGGCACTCAGGATCTGCCTAGCTGTGAAGACTCCCTGGGGGTGGAGGTCGAGGGGTGGGGCTGGGGAGGTGTGTGTTTCATGTGATTTTCAAGATGAATAAATGGGTCTGGATTTAGTCACTACTTTTTAAAAGTCAGTCCTCTTTTTTCCGAACATCCTGATCTTTCTAGCTCTTTCCATTCTTCTCTCTTACAGACCTTTATCTTTCAATCTCCCAGACAGGACAGGTAGACAAGGTATTGCTGACTTTGAGAAAAATGTACTTTAACAAAGGGAAAGCAAAATGATGTCAAAGGCAATTAATTATTTAGGCCAGACTCAAAAATTCTTTGTGTTAATGAACCCATATAGTCCCTGTAGCTATTTTCCATTCTAGTTTCTCCTTGTAGTTATTCATCTTTTATTGGACTTAGTGTATTTTATTAGTATATCATTAATGTCATGTTTGTTCTGTTTTGTCTGCCTGCATTGTGAAGGAAAGTTTAAATTTTTTGTTCTTTTTTAAAAAACATTGTCATTTAACTGACAAATCACATTTGTAGAAATGACAATTCACTTTGTATATATAAATTAGAGTTTATTTTGAGCACCATATGGCAGAACCAATCTTAATTTAACTCTCACAGATACTTTTCCCTCATCTTTCTGAATTAGGATTCTATTAATAACATAAAATTTCCTGCTGGGTTTTGGAAGCTCTGAATTTAAAAACCAAAAGCTGAACCTTTAGAGATTTGGATACAAAGTGGGAACCCACAAAGGCTTACAACAGTGACTGTTAAATAGTCCCTTTCCCCCCACTTAATGGTTTTCAGTTCCAAAGTCTTAACAGAATTGCTTTTACAGTTTTGACTGACAGGTGAATATTGAAAGTGGCCAGCAAAATAAGATCAGAAATTTTCTAAAATTGAACTAAATGCTTTAAAACATGGAATTAAATATATTGACCAAACTAAAATGGATTTCTACTGTAGCAAACTTCTGATATCTAAATATATCATAATATGACTCAATAAGATATTGTAAACCTTGAAAATTTTTGCAAATCATGTTGGAAAAAATTGGAAATGTTTTAAAATCGACTCCTAGCCCTACAAAACAATTTTCTCTGCTGTTTCCTGTGAACTTTTCACACCACAAGTTACCTGTGTGAATTACTGTTAATCATTTCCTTGTAGAGATGATAATGAACAACTTTTTGTACAGAGCCATTTCAGGAAAAATGAAAATGTTTATATACCTCCATTTAAAGTTTCAAATGAAAATACTTTATTGAGTCTCACGCAGGGAAAAGACATATAAACTTAGGTTAGCCACTTTAGTAATTAGAAAAATGCTGCTGATAATTTGGCACCATTTTTTAGACACTAAATTATTGCTTTCTGGATGTGTTTAGAAAGCAGCACCATACAGGTGGTTTTATAATTTCTTATCCTGAGTTTGTGGGCCTTGTATCATGAAGCTGGGACACCACTTTTGAAGCCCAGATCTGTATTACCGTATCCCAGGAACAGAAAATGTATAATGGGTCTCATTTATTCCATTAATCTCAAATCACTGCCAGTTTCTACATTCCAGTCTTTAATTTATGTTAAATTGTTTTTTCTAGCATAGAACCATCAGTAACTTGGGTCTTATAACGTCTATCACTAAAACTACTGATTTGCTTTTTTTTTAAAAATCAAGTACTATTTTCAAAGAATAGAGAACAAGAAAAGTGGCCCTCAGATATAGATGTTGGAAAGTCAGCTTGTGAGCTGGTTCTGCCCCTCTGCCTTGACATGCCCAGTTACTCTCCCCTTCAGAATTATGGTGAAGACCCTGGAGGTCACGTGTAATGGTCAAAACTATCTTAAATCCATAAATGACATCAGTCTGTATATTTATTTCACACAGGTAAATCCTATGCTAGAAATTAAAACTATAATTTAAGATTACATAAAATTACTAGACGTGAAAGGCTTACAATTTTTAAATATTCTCATTTTGATAAAATTTTCACAAAGTGCCATCATTCTTGCTCACTAGAGGACTGTCAGCAGCATTTCTAGTCTGTTCATAATTGCAGTTTTAAAACACTGCCTTTAAAGCAAAGAGCAAGCCTGTCCCCAGTTTAAAAGTTATTCTGCCTTAAATTCAGAAATTGAAATATTGACATTTTCCATTCTGCTCAAAACATGCTTTCAAAACCTGCCATTATTTTGTTAATGATTTTGAGTCTGAAACCATTTAATACTGTGTTTATTAATGTTGATGTTCTTTCACTTTGCTGCTAGGTCAAAATTATGAATTGTGCATATAGCAACTTCCAGCAGGATGGGTGGGTAAAGGTTTTAGTATGTAAAGATTATTCCAACTACCATCTTATTATGGTCTATTTCAATCTTGAAAAAATATCTTAAGATGGTAGAATATTTTATGTGTTAGATGAAATACCTAGGTTCTTTCCTTTTCCCTTGGAGAAAGCTAATCGCTTATTGCATGAGGAAAAGGGAGCCTTCAGATCCTTTGAATGAAATGTATTTTATAATGCTGCTTTTTCAGTTTTGCTTGCACACATTTTGTTTATTTTTGGGTCTGGCAATTAAAAAAAAATCAAAAATGAATCATATCCATCCATTACTATCTTTGTGATTAAGTGCTTGAAATTTCTGAGAGTATGTCTGTATAAGTCTTCTATCTGTTTGGCCTCATTTTGGTATACTTGCAGACTTCATTTTGTTTTCTTTCTCTTAATTCTGTTAATTTATTTAATCTCATGGGAGAGAAAACATGATCATTCTTTTATATACTGTACTTCATTCTTCCATCCGATTCATACTCTTAACTGCTTTGGATTCATGTATTTGTTTTTGTTAGTGAAGTTGCTGCAGTTTACCTGCCATGGTGGTGCTCGAGTATAACAGCTTAGATGGAAACAAGTTATTTCTCCAGTAGGGTTTCATTCTTTTTATTTCTGCTTTATGTCAACTGTGTAATCTTAAATCTATAAGAACTATGCTGTACTGTCAAAAGGATCTTATTTTTACATTTTAAACTGTACATACTACTAAGAAGACAGGTAAACTTAATTTCTGTAAATTTCAGTGTTAAAAAAATTGTGTTAGTAAATGTTACCTTGTTTTGAGTATATCTAAAAAAACTCAACTCAGATGAAAATTCCTTTATACCTTTTTGTTGGCAAACTGATTTTCTAATGGCAAATGACCTCTTTTACATTTTATTCTTTAATAAAAATGTTTCAGACTTCACATTCATGGAAGTCTGAAACTGAAATGTGTTTGTAGCAGTTCTGGTGTTAACTCTCTGAGTGACATGAAGTCTATTAATTTTTAAAGTCTGAATTTTTGTGCATTAACAGCTCATTTAAGCGTCTACTTACTGATCAACAGTCCTTCTCATGTTTTTCTTTCCATTTTATATTCTACAGAATCTGACTTCTTAAAATGTTAGTTTAATTAAAACTTAATTGAAGTATCCGTTACAATTTTTAAGTTTTCTGTCATTTATGTTTGTGACATACTACACAGAAGTATTGAACATGCTTGAGAAATAATTTGATTCTCTCAATTCATTTGCGTGTTCTGAGTCGTTACCACCCTTTGCATGTCTGTGGCTTGCTGCTCATGTTTAGAGGAATTGTAGTTTGTTGACTTAGAAACTTTTTGGTTTTACATAATATGAATTTGGCACATATATGCTATTTAAATCGATTGCTATATTGACTTTATGTATTCTTATTAGCAGCCAACAGTCAACACCGTCTGTGGTCACAAAGAAACAACTTAATCTAATGAAATTTAACAAGATGCAGTTTTATTCTCTGGTTTAGCTGCTTATGGTACAGGGTATTATGGGGGAAGAAACCTTCTTGACAGTGACTTTTAATACTACAAAAATGTATTTTTACTACTTATAAATGTTAAGCATAGCATCCAGTAAAACAGATGGACACATACACACACATGCACCCCTACCTTTTCTCTTTTTCTCAATAATAAAAATCCTATAATAATCCATGCCTTTTAAAATATTTATAGTTAAATACTTTGTCAGTGCTTTACTATAGCCTACTTATAACTAGCACCTGGTATATAAATTCCAGAGTAGAAATAGGAGCAAGTTGCTTATTTAATTAGAAAAATTATAAAACCTTTTTACCTGGAAAGATGATAACTATTTCCAGGTTGTCTGTTATTTTGTTAAATAATTTTTGTTCCCCCGGAAAACAGTATACTTTCTAGTAAAAGGAAGAAAGCCTACATCATGGTAAAGCTGTTTGGATTAGAGTCTTCTCTGATTCTAAACCATTCTAAATTTTGGTAGCTAAACACTGAGCTTGAAAATACCAAGTTGGCATGTGTGCTAAGCCGCTCAGTCGTGTCTGACTCTTTGCGACTCTGTGGACTGTAGCCCGCCAGGCTCCTGTGTCCACGGGATTCTCCAGGCAAGAATGCTGGAGTGGGCTGCCATGCCCTCCTCCAGGAGATCTTCCCGGACCCAGGGATCAGACCCATGTCTCTTGCATTGGCAGACGGGTTCTTTACCACTAACGCCACCTGGGAAGCCCAAATAATATTCATCTGTATCTCCAACATCTTTTGGGGGGCAGTTGGAGAGAAGTGGGGTATAACAAAAACTGCATTATTTCAGGTAGGTATAAATGTAGAGGTCAATCAAATTTTTAGTTATACATCAAAAACAACTAACCTCCATTAAATTATAAAAGTTGAATTCTCCGGCCCTATTTAGTCTTTAATTGGGTATGGAGTTTTTCATCCATATCACCCTTATCATTGCCTGTGTGGACCATATATATTATTAATACTGTTTTGCTGATTTTTCTATTATTTCCAATTCTGACTTGATAATCCATGGCTTTTATTTCATTGCTTAACAATGTTTGTATCCTTTATTCAGCTAATAGTTTACACTGGCCTATTTTGTATCAGTCAAGATTTTTCTCAGGTAACAGCTTTATTATTATTATTTTTTAATTAACAAAAGAGGTAGGATTACATTAGAGAAAAAACTAAATTACAAAAAGGGACATTAAAACTCATCTTTCTTATAACATGGACACTGTCTCATATATGAAATCTAAGCAAAGTGGAAGATTTGTTTTTGTTACTTAATTGCTTTTGTGCAAGATAATGTATGGTACTGAATTCCCATATGTTTGTTGGCTTTTTTATATAACCTGAATAAAAATTGATGAAATCTAATTAATATATAAATTAAACCTTAAAAACATAATGAAGAAAAGTGATGTATATGCATTTTTCTTATAATTTTAAGCATGTTTTCTCTCAAAATTTTTCACAATATAAATTGTCCTTCTAAGATGAAAGCCAGATATTGTACACTAATGGCATAGGAAATTGTTAAATTCATGTATTTATATATATCCTACCTTTTACATTTATGCTATTTCTTTCTCTAAATTTGTATATTATAAACTGAACATATGTTGAATCTACTTTATATGACAAAATATTTTTAATCATTATATTTTTACTAATGTATTGAAGGGTTGGATTGATCCTCTTCTTACAGTTTCATTTTTTGACAGAACCACTCTCTTTGGATTGAGGCTTCACTTTAAAAGCCTGACTTTGTTTTTTAATGTTCTAGAACTTTCCTAGAAAAGTTTAGAAGAACCTCTACAGTTGTAAAAATTAATTTTAAAAAGATGTATTGTATTAAAATGTTTTAAGGGTTTAGCCCTAAGAAACTAAACGAACATGATTTATTACTTTCCATTTTTATTTCACAGCGTATATTAATAATAATTGACAGTTTAAAAGCACAAACCCAAAATCTATCACAGTTGTTGCAAGAGGTGTCTAGTAACGAGAGTAATGTAAAATATGCTTCATGTTTTTATCTTAAGTCAGTTAAATCAAGATAAAGGTGAAGATCTAGCTATGCAATTTAAATATTTTGTGTGATGTTTCCATAGTACAAGTTAATTTGTATTTAAATCTTTACATTGTTATCATTGCATGTATTCACTGTATTTTTTAATGTGTCAACTGTTTTCTCTTTATAGAGTAGTATTTCAAAGTAACCATTCCATACCAATTCCAACTACCATCTGGTCTCTAAGCTTGTTATATGAAAATCTTTTACCATTGTCCTCCAGTTTTAGTGTTTTTTGATGAGCTACACCTGAGTTGTTCATTTTCTTTTTCTTTTATTTGCTTCTGTATACAGGCTGGCTTAGCAGGAGCTCCAGCCCGTGCTGTATCAGCTGTAAAGAATATGAATCTTCCTGAGATCCCAAGAAATATTAACATTGGTGACATCAGTATAAAAGTGCCAAACCTGCCCTCTTTTAAATAAAAAATTAAAAAGGCCACTCCCAGGTAAAATCCAGGGGAAAAAGTCATCTAAGTTTACCATGCAGTTGTTTACCAAAAATAAAGGAGGAGAGTCTTAACTTTTACTCTTGGATTTAAGTCAAGGTACTGTATAGACATTATATAAAATCAGTATGGAAGTTCAATGTTGCTTTTCTTGCTCAGTGGTTTTGAAGAAATTAAGTAGTTCCAGTGTGATTTTTTTTCTTTATTTTCTAAACTGCATTCCTGTGGCCACCTAAGGCATGCCTGTATGTATTGGCTATTACAGTATTTCAAAAAGTGTTCAGGACATTTCTTTAAATTGTGTACAACCCAAAATGTTGGTGTTTTGTATGGATCACAAGTGCAGCATTCCTTAATAATTTCTGTTATTTGTCACAATTGTTATTTAAAGAACGAAGTATGTATTGCATGAAAACCTTATGACCTGTTTCTCTTAGTTTAAATAAACTCCAAGGTAACCGGACTTATAAAGAACCGTTCTGTTTGCCTGATATCTACTTTAGCAATAATTTTTTTTACAACCCTCTGACGCAACAAAGTAAATAAAAGTATATTTTATCACTGTTAAGCAGCTGTTAATGTTGATTTATTTAATTTATATTTTTAACATTCAGAAGCTCATTATTATAAAATTAAATTATTTCACAAGTCAAGAGCAGTGTATCATGTAATTTGCCCACATTTTCATATTTAGTCTTATCATGTGATCCATGAGTGGAGTTCCTCTTCCAGTTAGACTAAGGTTTTCTCTGTAGTTCTAGTCCTATCTCCCTAAATGTTCTTTTTTGAAACATTTCCTTAGATCTATGTCATGTATGAATTTTACTCCAAGGTCTGGGGTATAAGAAAAGTCACTGTTTCTTTTTAAATAAAATTAATCTGACTCTTAAGCCCCATCCAGGAAATCCAGTCTGTGATTATTGGGATTTCCATCAGTTCAGAGGTGGATCAAAGTTCTAGAAGAAGGTTATGCAAAGCAGAACATGCAGGGAAGTCCCTGCTCTTCAGTCGTTTGACAGATGTTTTAGTCATTTGACAAACGTGCCAGGTTAACAAGTCCCTGTCCTAATGAAGCTATATACAGTACCACACAAGAGCGCTTGGCAATATGTATTTTTTCTCTTTTTCGTTTTTCTGGGTGAGAGGTGTGAATTATAGAAAAATTTAAGTTTTTGTTTGGTTACAATGTACCAAAATTAGGGAAACTTCTGGGCCAGATTATGCTTTAACCTAAATAGTGGAAAGGGTTTTATCTCTCACTATATTCTAGTATGAGAAAGAAACCCAGTCATGTGCAAATGACAAAAATAAGCAAGTCATAGAAAACTAAATCTCAGCGATCACTTAATATGTAAAGATGCTTAATCTCACTAGTAACCTAGGGAATGCAAGTTTAAAGAACAATTACTTTCACTTGTCATGGGTTTCCCTGGTGGCTCAGACAGTAAAGAATCTGCCTGTGATCTAGGAGGCATGAGTTCGATCCCTAGGTCGGGAAGATCCCCTGGAGAAGGGAGTGGCAGCCCACTCCAGTGTTCTTGCCTGGAGAATTCCATGGACAGAGGAGCCTGGTGGCCACAGTCCCTGGGGTCGCACAGAGTCGGACACGGCTGAGCCACTTCACTTTCACTTCTGTCATACTAGCAAAAATTAGGAGGGGTGACAATATCCAGTGCTGGAGAGGATGTGAGGAATGAGAACTGTCAGATATTGCTGGTGGGAATGTAATTTATGGTAACTTTAAAAAAATAATAATATGCTAAGTTCTGTGAAAATTTTTAAAAATTAAAAACACACATATCATACATACCCTGTGACTCACTTTGGAGACTCTGTTCTCTTAGCATTCCTGGATATCTTTATATACAAAGGTGATTATTTCATCACCTTTTTAAAGCAAAATAATTATAATAATAAACTGGAAATATCTTCAGTGCCCACCAGTAAGGAAATGGTAACTATAATACTAGGTATAATAGCAAAAGCCTGGAGAGACCCAAATGTCCTTTATAAGGAGACTGATTGAGAAGTTGGATTGCATCCACATTATGGTGTCTTATGGAGTTATCAAAATGAGATATCCCTCTATAGTGCTAAACACTGATAAAATTGATTCCTAGAAAATATAATATTAAGTGAGAAAAATCAAGATAAAAAGAAGAGTATTTGTATCTGTGGTATGTGTATTAGTTAGGGTTCTCTGGAACCAGTAGGATGTGAGTGTGTGTATATGTGTGTGTAATAGGTTGACATTTTATCAGCAGACTGAGTAAAGCATATTGCACTCCCTAATGTGAACAGGCCTTACCCAATGAGTTGAAAGCATGAATAGAATGAAAAAGCTGCCTCTTTTCATTCCTCCTGCTTACTGCCTTCAGACTGGGACAGTGGCTTTTTTCTGCCTTCAGAGTTGAAATAAAACAGGGATTCATCCTGGGTCTCAATCTTGCCAGCTTTCAGATTGGAGCTCCACCTTAGCCTCTCTGGGTCTCCAGTTCATCAACTCACCCTGTAGATCGTGGGACTTATAAGGAACGGGACTCATGTGGGCCGTTTCCTTATGATAAAGATCCTTAAATAAAATCATCATGTTGCTGATCATTTTTAAATGAGAAGGCAAGAAAAGAAGAAGGCTGATGTCCTGGCTTGAAGGCAGTCTGCCAGGAGCAATGAAGAAGATCAGTCTATTCATGCTTTCAGCTGTTTGGGTGAGGCCCATTCACACAAGGGAGGGCAATACACTTTACTCAGTTTACTGATTTAAATGTTAATCTCAACCAAAAACACCCTCACAGAAATACCCAGAATGTTTGACCAAATGTCTGGGAAACCCCAAGACCCAATTAAGCTGACATAAAATTATCCATCACGGTATGCTATCAGTTACCCAAGAAAAAGGGAGAATGAGTGGTGTGTGTGTACTTTTAAATGAAAGGACACACACATACACAGTGAGAAGGACAAACGGCAGAGGTGTGGACTTCTTGAAGTGTATCTTGTTTTGAAACCATGTAAATGTTTTACGTAGTTAGTAATCAAACTTAAAGTTTTAAACCCCCCAAAATTAAAAGCAAAGCAAATAAATTGAACTGTGTGATGAGTTGGTGGCATGCGTGCGTTGCTCAGGCACTAAGTCGTGTGCAACTCTGCGACCCCATGGACCGTAGCCCATCAGGCTCCTCTGTCCATGGAATTTCCCAGGCAAGAGTACCAGAGTGAGTTGCCATTTCCTCCTTCGGAGGATCTTCCTAAGCCCGAGGTCAAACTGCATCTCCAGGGGATCTTCTTAACCCAGAGGTCAAAGAAGCCGTCTCCCGCATCTCCTGTGTCTCCTGCTTTGGCAGAAGGATTCTTCACCACTAAACCACCTGGGAAGCCTGACCCCAAAGGGCAACTTTAAAACTCTTAATACCCCGAAAGACAAAAAGACCTGCCCTGCCTGCCTCCGAAATTAACTTGTTTTCTTTAACCCTGGTATCTGTGATATTTTAGCATTCCCAGGGGGCTGTGCAGGGGGACGGTGCGGTAGAACGGGAGAAAGTGCCTCAGTGCCAGAAGCGGCGCCTTGGCGTGCCTTCTGCAGGACTGGAGCACGCACCTCCTCAGCTGCCGGCCACGTGAGTGGCGGAGGGCACTCTGCTGGTTGCTGAGGATTGCTGCCAGCTGAAGGGAGCCACCTCACCTCAAGTCGTGACTCCTCTCCAGAAACATCCTCGAGCCACGTTATAAAAGTGCAGTCCACTTGGCTAAGGCAGGACAGCCCCAGCTCCAGCGCTGCCCATGGGATCAGCTCCAGCCTTTGTTGGGACTGCACTGCCACTTAACTCTTCCCTCTGGCTCATCCTACTTCCTTGAGACTTCAGGCTTTGATCCCAGTGATTGGCTGGCATGCAAATCTCTCTCAGTCTGGTTTTCAGCAAATTATAGCCTAGAATGATCTGAGGAAACACATTCTGAAACGAGGTTTTGAAACATGACTGCCTCCTGGCAGGCTGGCGTTAGAAGACCTATTACTGACAGCAAGTGGAGCGAGGCTCACCAGTAGTGTGCCGCAGCAGTGTAAGTGTTGACACTGTCACGGGTGGTGAGCTGGGCGTGCCCTGGTGGGGGCAGTGTCTCAGGCCTTTGAGAAATGCATGAGAACTAGTAATTGTGAAGAGTATGGAATTGGATGACTGTTATTCCAGGCCATCAATCCATTAGTGAAATGCTGCGTGTGATTAATTACTAATTAAAGGCTATTTGTTTAGAGCAGGTTCAAAATTGGGAAGGAAGTACGTCAAGGCCGTATATTATCACCCCACTTATTTAACTTACATGCAGAGTACATCATGTGGAATGCTGGGCTGGAAGAAGCACAAGCTGGAATCAAAATTGCAGGGAGAAATATCAATAACCTCAGATACGCAGATGACACCACCCTTCAACAAAGAGGAAGTAAAGAGCCTCTTGAAGGTGAAAGACGAGAGTGACAAAACTGGCTTAAAACTCAATGTTCAAAAAAACGAAGATCATGGCATCCAGTCCCAGCACTTCATGGTAAATGGGAAACAGTGGAAACAGTGAGAGACTTTATATTTTTTGCTCCAAAATCACTGCAGATGGTGACTGCAGCCATGAAATTAAAAGACGCTTACTCCTTGGAAGAAAAGCAATGACAAACCTAGACAGTGTATTAAAAAGCAGAGACGTTACTTTGCTGACAAAGATCTATATAGTCAAAGCTATGGTTTTTCCAGTGGTCATGTATGGATGTGAGAGCTGGATAATAAAAAAGGCTGAGCACGGAAAAATTGACGCTTTTGAACTGTGGTGTTGGAGAAGACTCTTGAGAGTCCATTGGACTGCAAGGAGATCCAACCAGTCCATCCTAAAGAAAATGGGTCCTGAATATTCATTGGAAGGACTAATGTTGAAGCTGGAGCTCCAATACTTGGCTGCCCGATGCGAAGGAGCTCACTCCTTAGAAAAGACCCT